AAGACAATTACTGATTTGATACATGCTCTCTACAGGAAACCTGCTTTGAACATAAAGACATAGTGTATCAGCCTATTCTCATGCTGCTATGAAGAAATACCTGAGAGTGGGTAATTTATAAAGGAAAGAGTTTAATTGACTCAATTCTGCATGGCTGGGAAAGCCTCAAGAAACTCACAATCATGGTGGCAGGAGACAGAAGTGCCAAGCAAAGGGGGAAAAGCCCCTTATAAAGCCATCAAATCTCATAAGAAGTTACTCACTATCATGAGAACAGCAGGGGGGCGGGTAACCACTCCCATGATTCAATTATCTCCCATGGGTCCCTCCCACAACATGTGGGGATTATGGGAACTACAATTCAAGATGAGATCTGGGTGGGGACACAGCTGATCCATAGCTTTCTGCCCCTGGCCCCTCCCAAATCTCATGTCCTCACAGTTCAAAACACAATCATGCCTTCCCAATTGAGTCCCGCTAAGTCTTAGCTCATTCCAGCATTAAACCCAAAGTCCAAGTCCAAAGTCTCATCTGAGGCAAGGCAAGTTCCTTCCACCTATGAGCCTGTAAAATCAAAAGCACGCTAGTTACTTCCTGGATACAAGGAGGGTACAGGCATTGGGTAAATAGACCCATTCCAAATGGAAGAAACTGGCCCAAACGAGGAAGCTACAGGCCCCAGGCAAGTCCAAAATCCAATAGGGCAGTTACTAAACCTTAAAGTTCCAAAATAATCTCCTTTAACTTCATGTCTCACATCCAGGTCGCGCTGTGAAAGAGGTAGGGGTCCCAGGCACAGCCCCCCTGCCAGCTGCTTTCATGGGCTGGCATTGAGTGCCTATGGCTTTTCCCGGTGCACGGTGGAAACCAGCGGTGGATCTACTGTTCTGGGGTCTTGAGAACAGTGGCCTTCTTCTCACAGCTCCACTAGGCAGTGTCCCAGTGGGGACTCTGTGTGGGGGTTCTGACCCCACATTTCCCTTCTGCACCGCCCTAGCACTGAAAAAGACAAAGTTCTTGTCTTGTCCTTACGGGGGTGGTGTTACAGGGAGCATGATGGCATGAAATGCACTGGAAATATGAGGTGAAAAATACAAATGTCAGGAGCAGAAGGCTCTGCATCACAAAAACAAAACTATAAACAAAACATGCACACAAAATAAAACAATATGCATATTTGGCAGTGACTCACATCTTACGTTTCTTGGCCTTTAAAGCTGAAGTCAAAACTCTGATCACAATACTTTCACAGGCAAGTCATTTTGTATTGTTAGACAACCTACAACTACCCCCTTAGATTCTTACTTGGGGTAAGGAAGCAGGAAATGGGTTGGTTTCTCCACCAATCTTTAGAAGCTATGAGGAAACTTATAGTAGGGGTTGTTAGTTTTTGTATTCTCTGTAGATGATCCAGGTCTCTCGTTACTCAGGGACTATTGAGGAGAATACAATTTCACACACCTCAAACAATAACTTCAGTAACGGAAGTACATTCTCAATTAAGGGGAAACATGACAATATTAACAGAGTTCATGTGTGTGAGCACAATTGTTTGGATGAGTGCAGTAGCTTGACTGTAACACAATGTGCAATGGGAAGTCTATTAATCAGGTTTCATTCACTCAAAACTGGCTGAAAAATCCTTAGTTTGAAATTTTCTATCTTGGTCTCACCCTGAAGGTGGTTTTTTTTTTTCCCCTTTGGTAAGATTAAGTCCATCCAGGCATACTGAAAATACAAGACTGAGCAGAAATGCCTTTTCCATTTCAAAGACAAGCTGGCCAGGCATGGTCACTCATTCCTGTAATCCTAGAACTTCAGGAGGCCGAGGTGGGCAGACTGCCTGAGCTCAGGAGTTCAAGACCAGCCTGGGCAACATACTAAAATACAAAAAATTAGCCAGGCATGGTGTTGTGCACCTGTAGTCCCAACTATTCAAGAGGCTGAGGCATGAGAATTGTATGAACCTGAGAGGTGGAGTTTGCAGTGAGCCGAGATCGCACTACTATACTCCAGCCTGGGTGACAGAGTGAGACTCTGCCTCCAAAACAAAAACAAAACAAAGACAAGCTATTTTATAAAGCAATAATTTAACGCCAGTTAAACTTTAATACATTAAGAAGCACTAAGGTTTTTTTTTTTTGAGATGGGGTCTTGCTCTGCCACCCAGGCTGGAGTACAGTGGCACAATCTCAGCTCACTGCAGCCACGATTGTCCAGGCTCACGCCATCCTCCCACCTTAGCTACCTGAGCATCTGGGGCTACAGGGATGTGACACCGTGTCTGGATAATTTTAATTATTTGTAAAGACGAGGTCTTGATATGTTGCCCAGGCTGGTTTTGAACTCCTGTGCTCAAGGGATTCTCCTGTCTCAGCCTCCCAAAGTGCTGGGATTACAGGTGTGAGCCACTGTGCCTGGCAGCACTGGTTTTAAGAAGCACTGTTTTTCTGCAAAATTCAGACGCAAAAGTCTCTAAAATGAATAGCCATGGGCCCTGTTTGTGATGGGCTTTTGATTGCATTGTAATTATGTATATATTTATTTATTTCCATTACATTTTTACTATATGGTTATCAATATAAAAAGGAGCTATTAGGAATTTAATACGGTCCTTTTTTTTTTTTTTTTTTTTTTTTTTTTTCTCTATTTGGAAACAGGGTCTCACTTTGTCACCACCCAGGCTAGAGTATAGTGGCATAATCATAGCTCATGGTAGCCTTGAACTCCTGTGCTCAAGCAATCCTCCTGCCTCAGCCTCTTGAGTAGCTGGGACTATAGGTGTAAGCCACAGCACCTCACTGAATTTAATACTGTCCTTTACATTTTTTTCCTCTTTCAAGAAAGAAAGAAAGAAATTAAAATTCCTGGACCAGACGCGGTAGCTCACGCCTGTAATCCCAGCACTTTGGGAGGCCGAGGTGGGCGGATCACCTGAGATCAGGAGACCGAGACCATCCTGGCCAACATGGTGAAACCCTGTATCTATTTTTTAAAAAAAGAAGAAAATAAAATTCCTATGACAACATGCTAAATTTGAGAAGTAGGTCTTATCTTTTCACAGCAAATAAATGAGGTGCCTTGGATAACTAGTTAGGCTGTGAAATTATGTCTATGAACTATTAGGAAATATCCACATCATGGGAAAGTAAGTACAGCTCTAAGTCTCACCAGGTTGCATTTCTTGACTCGTGGGTTGTCACTGTTATCTTTAATATCATACCACAGGAAATTTTGTATTAAATACAATTTACCTTCACACACCATGAATAAACAAACAATATTTAACAAATAGAAAGTATTTAGCTAGAAATAGTGCATAGCTTCAAAGTTCTGATGAAGAGTGTTAGTAAGTTTACAACATCTGTGCATTTCTTTAGACTTCTGTTGGTATGATTAAGTATGAAAGGGGTAAGGAATATCACTGACCTCTATCAGTAAACTAGGAGCAAAAGGAGCTTTAAATTAAAAAACTGACCTGTTTTTCTCTTTTTCTGTTTATTTCTCAGTGTTTATCAACTTTTTCTTTGCTTCCCTTTCCATGTCTGTACTCCATCCCTACTTCATCCTGTCTTCTGTTTCTTTTATGCCTGATTTTTGTCTCCAGGCTAGCATTGCCCTGTCTTTATTGAACTAAAAATCATAACATGTAAAAAAAAAGAATCACTGGATTTTTAGAGGTGACAGTAAACAGAAAATGTAGTATAGGGAGTACTATGGACGGAATGTTTACCCTCCTCCCCTCAATTCATATGGTGAAATCCCAACCCCCAATGTGATGGAATTAGGAGGTGGGCCTTTGGGAGGTAATTAGTTCATGAGGTCTGCAGAATGCAATAGGAAAAAAGGAACCAGAAACCAACAATCCCGGGGCCCCTGATCTGGGACTTCCAGCCTCCAGAACAGAGAGAAATAAATGTCTGCTGTTTATCAGCTGCCCAGTCTGTGCTACTTTGTTTTACCAGCCTGAATGGACTACGACATGGGATTAACCTAAACTACTCAGACTTTCCTTCAGTGGCTACCACTTCTATGTAATAACTTATGACAATGTTAACAGATTGTCCTTAGCCTTCTCCCTTATAAATCAGCCCTTCCTGATACTTGAGTAAGTTACACTGAGGCAAGAATTGAGCAGTATTTCCTTCAAAAGGTAATTCCAAATATCTGTTGAAAGACTATTCATTGTCAAGAATCTTGAATCTCAGAGGAAAATGGTGGTTACCAGAGACTGGAAAGATGTTGCTAAAAGGTTTCAAAATTTCAGTTAGATAAGGAGGAATAAGTTCAAGAGAGCTAGTGTACAACTGGCCAGGTCCAGTGGCTCACGTCTGTAATCCCAGCACTTTGGGAGGCCGCAGTGGGCAGATTACTTGAGGTCAGGAGTTTGAGACCAGCCTGGCCAGCATGGTGAAACCCCATCTCTACTAAAAATACAAAAAAATTAGCAGGGCATGGTGGTGCATGCCTGTAGTCCCAGCTACCTGGGAGGCTGAGGCAGGAGAATGGCTTGAACCCAGGAGGTGGAGGTTGCAGTGACTAAGACTGCACCATTGCACTCCAGCCTGGATGACAAAGCAAGATTCTGTCTCAAAAAAATAAATAAATAAAAAAGAGAGATCTAGTGTACAACATGCTGACTATACTTACAATGTATTGCTAGGTAGATTTTAACTGTTTTCACCACACACACACTCAAAAATGAAAAGTATATGAGGTAATGCAAATGTTAATTAGCTCTATTCAGCCATTCCACAATGGACAAACATTTCAAAATTACATGTTGTACATGAGAAATATGCATTTTTAATTTGTGAATTAAAAAAATAAAACAATAAAAAAGCAATGAAAAATCCTTTAAAAAATGGTATCTGGAAACCCTTCATCACCCCAAAATCTTGAATCTGAACATGGAATTCCCCAAGGTACCTCCGCTGCATCAACCTACACAGCAAATAGATTTTCACAGGCTCTTGTCAAAGTGTGAGTGAGAGGCTCACCTGCCCCTGGGTCATCTTCTGCAGCTCATTCTCCCAAGCTGCCTGGTCATCGTCCAAGTTATAGGAAGCTGGTGGAGTGAGTCCACGGAGGATCAGGGGGTCTCGGTCATGGCAGAGGGCTGTCAGGTGTCCAATGTACAACTTTAATTTACTTCTATTTTGGTCAAGTTCTAAGAGGGGCTGGATGATCTAAGGCAAAAGAAATCATAACAATAAGAAAAGTCAAGGTCAGTCTGAAATGAGGGACTCAAATATTCTTTATGCCTCCCAAGTAAAAGAAAATTGACCAGAGACTAAAGCTCTTCTAATCACTACTGAAATCTTCAAGATTATAGAAACATTTTCACACACTGTCGCACATTTATGCTGTCACACCCAGCTGTCCTTCTGGGAGACAGGGAGAGAATGCTGGTTTAATATATCCACACTAGATGGACGGATAGCTCTGTATTGAGGCAGGGATTAAGCACAGGACTGACTTGTTTTTACAGAGATGCTATTCCTGATACAGAAAGACTCAAGTTACCTCACAATTTCTCTTTTCATTTATGTGTGAGTGGATTACAAAAAACTGCTAGTGAAAGCTGCTCATCTGAAATCCTGGACTACATATACTTCAAATGTTCCTCCACCTCCTGGAATGGAAGAAGAATTCCGTCTCTGGAGAAAGTGCATGTTTTTCTTGGCCAAGAGATGTGATGAGGGAACTTATGAATTCTGCCTCATCCTGGCTTATGCTCCCCTCATTCATTTCATAGAGGTTATCCGATACTCTTCTGAAACAGTGACTGATAAATCCTTATATAACACCAAACACCTGACTCACAGCCAAGGACTCTAAAATTCTTAGTTGTAACATTGGTTCTGTGTTTTTCTGAAGGAACAGACTTGCTCTCCATTTTTTCTTTTCTCTTTCCTTTCCCCTGCATGAACAGATACTCCTTTGATTCCTTCTGGAAGCGCACTAAATGACTGATGACTCCTGCCCCAGGATTTCATTTGACAGCTCTCGTGACAATAGTCTGACCAGGTATTTGGGAGGTGGTCAAAGCCTGGAGTGTTCAGGAAGAGTGGGGCCAGACCTCATATCACAGAACACTGAAGTGTTAGAGCAGCACCTGCTTGAAACACAGCAGCTGTGAGTGCTGCGAAGCACTGCCAAAACGCGGGCAGTTCTCAGTGTGTTCCCAGGGCTCACACTACAGAGGTCTGCACCTGTTGTATGTCACCAGCCTGGCAATTTTCATCAACAGGACACCTCTGGCCTAACTAATAAATTGGGAGCTCAATAATCTTCAAGTCAACAGAAGCAAGGCCTGGTATTACTTTCCACAGTAACACTGATTCCTCCTTGGACCCCCTCAGAGGACTGCTCCTGTCACCTTCCTTTATTTCTTTTTAAATAAGAGTTTTTTAAGCAAATATAGTTTTATGTTTTTATTATAAAAACAATATACATTTTACTCCGAAAAATTGAGGAAAAAGGAAAAATATAAAGGAAATAAGACAATTGCATACACTTGCATCAAGAAGTAATCATTTGTAACATTTTGGTAATTTTTATGCCACGTCTTTTAATAAATTTATATAAATCAGCTTCTAAGAGTATCATACTTCACATTTCGTTTGACACATTCTTTAACATTGTATTGTGAGTACTGTTCACTGCATTATATATGACTGAAAATATGTTTTCAATGGCTGCATAATAAATACAGCATATTTCCTTTGTTTCTAATATTATTTCCAGGAAATAATTAAGAGAGAATAAAGAGCAAGAGCTTAGTGGCTAAAACAATCTTTAGTTTACTAAAAAGATCAGAGTTCAGTTTAGATCTATACAGTATAAAATAACATAGAAGCTGGAGTCTGGCTAGACAAACAAGAGAAAATGAATCAATTTAGCATTATAATTTTTTTTTTTGAAATGGAGTCTCACTCTGTTGCCAGGCTGGAGTGCAGTGGTGTGATCTTGGCTCACTGCAAACTCTGCCTCCTGGGTTCAAGCAATTCTCCTGCCTCAGCCTCCTGAGTAGCTGTGACTACAGGCATGTGCCACCACACCCAGCTAATTTTTGTATTTTTAGTAGAGATGGGGTTTCACCATGTTGGCCAGGATGGTCTTAATCTCCTGACCTCAAGTGATCTGCCCACCTTGGCCTCCCAAAGTGCTGAGATTACAGGCGTGAGCCAGTGTGCTCGGCCAGCATTATTTTTGTTTTTAAAACTCTCTCTCTCTAAGGATAAAGGATAAACACCAAAGTGCTGTTGTGAAAGGCTCCTGGCCTCTATAAGAGACTCCTAATCAGCAGGTTTCTGGTACCAGTTCTGTGCTGGAATTTCCTACCTATGACAGGGATGTCAACACAGCCTGTCACAGAAAAAAGAGAGTGTTTCAATCAATCAGAGAATTTAGAGTGGGGAAGTTGGAGAGCTTCTGGCAAACAATGCCAGCCTTTCAAAAGTATTGTATTTTATTTCTGAGCAGAAATATATACTTGTTGTGGCCGGGCATGGTGGCTCATGCCTGTAATCCCAGCACTTTGGGAGGCCAAGGCAGGCAGATCACTTGAGGTCAGAAGTTCAAGAGCAGCCTGGCCAGCATGGTGAAACCTTGTCTCTACTAAAAACACAAAAATTAGCTGGATGTGGTGGCGTGTGCCTGTAATCTCAGGTACTCGGGAGTCTGAGGCTAGAGAATTGCTTGAACCCAGGAGGCAGAGGTTGCAGTGAGACAAGATGGCGCCACCGCACTCCAGCCTGGGCGACAGTTACACACACACATACACACTGCTTGTTGTGGAAAAATTAAAAAGAATTCCAAGTGCAGTCTTTAAAGGTAACATTATTTTAACTGCAAATACACTTTGTGCACCAATGACGACACAGTTTAATCATGGTTCTATTACTATATCCTCCATGATGCCAAGTAATGCATCCCTATTTCATTACTCATTTTTTAAAAGCTTGGTTTTCTCTACATTCTTTCACAGATAAATTGATTTAAAAAATCACTTTTGGGATTTTCATTGGGTTTGTGCAATTTATTCCCATTCTCTTAGTGCAAACAAGCATGTTTGTGTATATACAGCTGCCATGACAAATGCTACATCTGGGCTGCAAAGGCTGAAAGAGCTGATTATCTTAGGTAATTACTTTTGATTGACAAACTGGAAGAAAAAAGTATATCCATGAAGAAAGGGGATAATGTGACAAATGGTCATATTGAGAAGGTCAATTTCCTTATAGTAAAATGGAATTTTGAAAGATATTAGCTCACTCCAACTACTACTTTGACTGGGGATGCTGACTTTTTAGGTCCTTATTCTTAATAAAAAATAAATTTCGGCCTGGCACAGTGGCTCACGCCTGTAATCCCAGCACTCTGGGAGGCTGAGGTGGGCAGATCACTTAAGATCAGGAGTTTGAGACCAGCCTGGCCAATATGGGGAAAACTCGTTTCTACTAAAAAAAAAAACAAAAACCAGCTGGGCATGGTGGTGCGTGCTGAAGTCCCAGCTAGTCAGGAGGCTGGAGCAGGAGAATTGTTTGAACCTGGGAGGCAGAGGTTGCAGTGAGCCGAGATCTTGCCATTGCACTCCAGCTTGGGCATCACAGTAAGACTCTGTCTCAAAACAAACAAACAAAAAACCAAACCAAAAAAATAAAAATGATTTAAATGCATTTTATGCTGAAGGATAATTGATTAAATAAACATGATGGCATTTGATATTCTGAAAAATTTCAGAGTCCAATTGAAAACCTAAAAAGTAAAGCTGAGGTCGAGTGTGGTGGTTCATGCCTGCAATCCCAGCACTTTGGGAGGCAAAGGTGAATGATCACCTGAGGTCAGGAGTTTGAGAGCAGCCTGACCAACATGGGAAATCCCGTCTCTATTAAAAATACAAAAAGTAGCTGGGCGTGGTGGCATGTACCTGTTAGCCTCAGCTACTTAGTAGGCTGAGGCATGAGAATCGCCTGAACCCAGGAAGTGGAGGTTGCAGTGAGCTGAGATTGTACTTCTGCACTCCAGCCTGGGCAACAGAGCGAGACTTTGTCACAAAAAAAAAAGTAAGGGTGAGGCAGGAGGACTGCTTAAGGACAGAGTTTGAGACCAGCCTGGGGAACACAGCAAGACTCTATTTAAAAAAAAAAAAAAAAAAAAAAAAAAGGGGGGGGGGG